CTTTGTCTGCAATGATTAGACATGTTTTTTTATTATTGTCATTAGTGATTATCTCAATTTCGGCTAAAAGAATTGACAAAATCCTACACACTGTGCCTTTAATACAAATGTGAAGATTTGTAAATTGGTGCATAGTTGCTATTAGGTTTTTTTTAGATAAGTGTTTTAAAATGGCAATCCAACTTTGTCTTGGCCCTATTCACCTAACCATTACCTCATTAAAACGTTTAAAATCTAACTCAATTTCACCAAAATGCTATTTAAAACAGTTAAGATACTGTTTGTAAAGTTTCCACAGAACCTAATTTCAAAAGATTGGAAGTATCCTTATGTTGCTCCTGCAACAGTTGGTAACTACTTAGATTAAATGGTCACAAAACCAATATTTATTGACAAAGATAAATGACTGAATGAAAACATCACAGGAAAAAAAAGAGGAATTTGTTAGGTTTAATCGCGATCAGACACAAACATCAAAGGCTTGATGTTTTAAGCACCTTTGAAATTATTTTTATTCGGGTCATTACTTCCCAAATCAAAGTTTTGACACTTTGTGACACACGAGCGCTTTGATCTCACAAGTGTGTGGTGTGTTAGCATTTAGGGCCGTGTTCATGCTCTGTCTGCTTCTGTCAGTCAGCGGTGTTCTCTGTATTCAGCATGGTGACAGTGGGTGTAGTGATAACCATGTGGGCTGCACCGACGCTGGGCTTCACAACAGAGGGAACAGTGGGGATATGCAGACTGGAGTCAGAGGCCCATCCATTAACTTGACAGGGTGCAGAAGCTGCCAAGAGTATGAGCGCATGCTTTTGGAGCATGCTTCTCAGAGGGTGTGTGTGTGTGTTGGTGTGTGTGTGTGTGTCTCGCTGCGCCCATACCACCTCAGTCCCTCCAAGCACCACCGTAGCGTCTGGCCCTGGCAGAACAGCCAGTTCATGTCCATCTCTCTGTCTGAGTCTGGAACCACAGGGCAGCTCTGTTCGGCTCGGTTTGGATCATCCTGGCCCAGAACCTGAGAGAGAAGCGAGGAGGAGCGAGGGGGCGACGGCACAGCCCAGCGCTCCCATCAGACTGTCTGCTTCTCTGTTCCCCGAGGAAATCAGTTTAACAGTCCCCAGCTCTTGGCAAGCAGAGGGAGAGAGGGGTGGTGGGGGGGACGAGAAGAGGTCTGTGTGTGTGTGTTGGAGGGAGAGGGAGAAACGAGATGGGGAAGGGAGGTGTTACTGCCTTTCTGGGCGAGAGGGAAATCTAATAAAACTGAACTAATGGGGTTGTGGAGTTTGAGGGGACAGAAAGTGGGTTTTGCAGGCAGGCACTGGTGGGTAATGTTGATGGAGGTGAACAGGATCCTGTGACAGTTTGGCAAAGCAGCAAAGCCGAACTCCTGCTTTCAGCTGCAGCTCGTGAGCTCACGTTGACTTAAGCGTGTGAGTTAGGGGGGCCYAGGCACATAAATTCTGCTGGGAAGGTAACAGTTTTGATATATAAAGCAATTAGAAATACTGTGTGCCTAAACTGCAGTAGCTGTGAGTTAACAAAAGGCTGGGAGAGACAGACAGAAGCCTTAATATTTCTCTACGGTCGGYTTTTATGGGAAAAGGAAGATCTCCGTTTAAAACCTTAATCCTTTTGTCATTAAACTGCGACACTACAGACTGGTTAAATCTTTCCAACCTGCTYTAAGGCGCCAATGGGCCACAGGTCTTCTGATAGCACACCGCTCCACTTTTAAGAGGAATAAAAGTGCTCACCCTGACCTCGCTGAGTTTGATTTACCCYTCCTCGCCCAGGAGTGGCCTCCACTCTTTTGTACCTGCTCTGTGCCGTTGCTTTCCTTCTGTCRAGGGTTAATAGATATGAAGTCATCTGGTGGAGAGAAAACCCGAATGCGTTCTCAGMATTCGCCCCCCGAGCACTCACGGGGACATCACTCAGAGCCTGTCGTGTCAGAGAGGAAGCAAACCATTAATAAATATCATTAATGGATGATCACCTGGTATGATATAAATGAGCGAGGCCTAAAAGAAGGGCTGGAAGTGGAGAGGTCATGGGGCAAAGATCGAAGAAGAGATAGCGTCCTCATGGGCGAGAGGTGGCTGAGTCAGGAATGGCGCTTTAATGGTGAAAAATCAATACTGCCACTACTTTCAGTATGTTCAGGCTGGAGAAAATGTGGTGTCAAATGCTGATGTTTATTCTCCTTGTTGATAGAATTATGTCGGAAGAAGCTGACCGCGTCTTTATGGTGTCACAGGGACCTCACTGTGTCTACTTTGTTCTGCATTTTTTTTAAACAACAGATGAGCAGACTGCTGAGTCCTCTGCGCTGCCACAAGCTAACACCTGCGCTGAGCTAATGACTGTTTTCTGTCGAGGCTCTGTTGCAAGAGAAATGGAAATGTATGTGTGTGTTATTAGAGTGAAATGCACACAGTGGTTAAGTTCCTGCGCTCAGCAGAGTCTGAGAAATACAAGTGTGTGTTAAAAAGTCATTAGGGAGCTGATGAAGGTGTTTGGGAGTCACAGCCTGCTCATCATCATGTTGCTAACGTCCTTCAGTTGCGTCACTGTGGTTCGGGATACAAAGACTTAAAGTTTTGGCCCGACGGGAATTAACTGAGCGGTGTCACAACTCCAGATGGAGCTGAAGGAGACACCTGTGCAGCGATAGATTCAGGAATAGATTTTTATTACGGTAAGGTTTTTTTCTTCCTTTCAGCACAATGAAAACTGTCATTTTTCTTTCAGTTTTTTTATCATTTCTTTGTAGAGTTAAAGTGATACATGTCAGATATTACAGTAGTTATATGTTACCTCATTTCATTGTACAAGTTTGTGTAATCAGACTTTGAAACAAATCTATGGGATAAATCTTGTGCCAGCAGGAATTTAATTTGAATTGCTCAGATTGAATCAGAATGTAAATAATTTGAAATTGAATGCATTGGTTTGAAAATAAATTTTACTAAAATGAAACCGAATTTAATGATTTGAAACTGAATTTAAAGTTTTGAATTTGAATTAATTTGCTTTGAAACTGTATTTTGGTTTATTAAAAATTCAGTTTGACTACTTTCACTTTCAGTTCCATAATTCAGATTTTTGTGTCACATCCTGGTCCTTGAGAAAGCCAGGCAGAGTAATCAAACACAGATCCACAGATTTATGTTTCACTTTGGTGAAGTTTCCCTTCAGTAATGTAACAGAGTTGATGCAATCCACCGTAAAAGTGACAAAAACAAAGTTATTTTATTGCAGTGATTAATTTTACCTATATGTAGAAAATGTTACATTTACATCACATCATGGATCAGTCAGCAGCAGCATCTGATCAATAGGTGATCCATGATGTGATGTAAGTGTAACATTTTCTACATACAGTGTAGGTAAAATTAATCACTGCAATAAAATAACTTTGTTTTTGTCACTTTTACACAAAAATCTGAATTTTGGAACTGAAATTGAATTATGGAACTCAAAGTGAAAGTAGTCAAACTGAATTTTTAATAAACCAAAATACAGTTTCAAAGCAAATTAATTCAGATACAAAACTTTAAATTCAGTTTCAGTTTAGTAAAATTTATTTTCAAACCACTGCATTTGATTTCAAATTATGCACATTCAGATTCAGTCTGAGCAATTCAAATTCAATTCCTGCTGGCACAAGATTTATCTCATACAAATCTTTCTTTACAAATATTTCTTCAGTGAATGGAGTATGTCTGATAAAAATTAGCCTGCAAAATGTTGGGTTTGCTTGCGTTTGTGCTTTGTTTCTGCCGCTGTCACTAAGAGTTGCGAAGCCCTCAGCTCTCTGACCTGCCTCTGTGCTTTGACACTCGCTGGCCTCCTTGAACTGCCGGCTAATTCAATTAACAAAACAGAACAGATACTGCCGCACTGCCAGCTGGAGAGCTCCCTGAGACGCTGATAAATGAGCAGTCGCCGTCCTGGACTTGATTGTGTGCGAGGAAGACCCACAGGAATCCATCTAATCTCTCCCCACCTCTGCACCCTTTCACCTCCCTCCCCCCTCTCTGCCCTTCGCCCCAGTGCCTGGTTGGTCTTGGCTGGTCTTGCCCCCATACAGATGTTTAATTTTTTCTTGTGAAGCATGGAGATAAACCGCTTTGGACTGGAAGTGCATTGAACCTTGATGTTTTTCTTTCTTTCTTTCCTTTTTTTTTAGTTAAGTAAGTTGAGCCTCACTCTTCTGGCTGATACCGTATGATGAGCTACTTTTAACCTTTACCTTTAAGATCTGGTGGACCTCAGTGTATGGAGAGTCTGAGGAATTGTTTAAAAGATGTTAAAACATGGATGCAGCTAAACTTTCTGTGTCTAAATGAAAACAATGCAGAGCTCTTGGCTCCTTGGACTCAGACTGTTACTTTATTAGGAATCTTGGGGTTATTTTAGACTATAACTTCATATTTGACAGACAGGTCAGTGCAGTGGTCCGGTCTAGTTTTTATCATTTAAGGCTTATTAGCACGGTCAAACTTTATCTTCCTCATGTTGCTATTGCGAGAGTTATTCATTCTTTTATCTTCTTTAGACTGGATTATTGCAGCTCCCTTTATATAGTGGAATTACCCAGACTCTCCACCACCGTCTTCAGCTGATCCAAACTGCTCGTTTGTTAACGGGGACTAGACGGTGTGAGCACATACTTCTCCTCATTGGCAGCCCGTTTCTTTTAGGATTGTTTTTAAAGTTCTACTCTTGGTTTTTAGACGTTTAAATGGTTTGGCACCAGTTTTTTCTTTCTGAACTCCTTCATCGTTGTCATCCTGACGGAGCTCTGAGATCTGAAGATCAGATGGTGGTTCCTTGGACTCGGCTGGTGTCTTAAGGCGGACAGATCCTTTGCAGCTGGAGCTCCTAAACTTTGGAACAGTTTCCCTCTTGCTGTGAGGTCTTCCAGATCTCCTGATAAATTGAAACCTCTTTTAAAAATGGATCATTTTGGTTTGGCTTTTCGACTCCAGAGAGTACATGCAGTAGGCCAGTCTCTTTCTTTTTTGCTTTTTTATTTTGTGTTTGTGTTATCGCTTACATGATTTTATCTTACTGTATTTTTTCTTTGCTGTGCAGCACTTTGGTTGCCTTGGATTGTGTAAAGTGCTACATAAAAAATGTTTTGATGGATTGATACACAGAAGATGCCTTCGTCAATACTGGTGGCTACGATTGAATATAATACCTGTTCCAAATGCATATTAGCTAGTCTTTTTGTTGCTTCTTTTTTATAACACCTCCAGGTTATTATTCTGTTTAAAAAATCTGCAGGCTGAGACTTTGCCTGTAAATAGCAATGACACTGAGGTTTTTCATTGAGGTTTTCCTGAGTCTCAGTATGACTAAGAAGATGCTGGAAGCTGTGGACAGCTGCACGCCTGAGAACACCCGCTACATGTTAGCATTATAGTATTTTAACACCCATCTTATTAGTCAAAAAAAGGAAGGGTTGTGGCCCTATTAGACCTCGTCCACATGAGGCTACGGTGAAGGCAGTTAACTAGGTGTGACGTTAAGAAAAAAAATTTAATTTATTATTTCCGGGTGAGTGAATTAAACATAAACATTTACGAGGTGCAAAAAAATATTAAACACTTCAAATGTACCTGTGTCACAAAGTCTGGCATCTCATGGTATGTCAAACAGAAACTGCAGTCGGCTGGAACAGGCTTGGCAAGGTCATAATTTCACTTCACCGGTTTCCTGTGCAGCTTGCTGCTCATTCTGTTCGCTGAGACACAAGGTAACCACAACAAAACTTATTGTAAATGGTTTTAACAAATAGATACAGTATATGCTTTTTGTAGAGCCAGCTGAAGCCAGCACATGTGCTGTCATTTGACTTGCATGTTTTAAATTATTGTTGTTTTACTATAAAAGGAGAGCAGAGCTAATGTTTTTTTTTTTTGCTCCAGTCATGTTTCTAGCATTGTGAGCAGGGCCAGCTGGATGCCATTCCTGATGGGAATCGTGAATGTGAAGGTTGTTAAACGATACGGAGCTGTGGACGAACTGACAGCAGCTGGTTGAAGTTGGGGGAAGGAAGGGGAAAGGCAGCACTAGGACAGAGAATAAAAAAAACTTTGTGGAATTCACAACAGTAGCCTTGGGGGGAATTTTTTGCTAGTAACGTTTATGCTAAAAGCGAACTACATAGGACGAATATTTAGTTAAATACAAAGAATAAGTACCAATCTTTTTTGAATAAGTCATTTTCAGAGTTGTAAAGTAACTAAGTACAAATACTTTGTACTTAAGTAGAAATTTTGGCTATCTGTGCTTTACTTGAGTAACTGTTTTTCAGCCTACGTTTAACTTCTAATCCTTACAGTTATCTGTACTTTCTATTCATTACATTTTTTAAAAAAGGTGAGAAGTAGAAAGTCGTTACTCCTATTTCATTATGGCTTGTTAAAAAAATATTATCCTGATAAACTTCTTCTGAAGATGCTCTGTGTTGAAGAATCAGTGGATCTGTGTTTGACTACTCCACCTAGGCTGCATTGTCGAGCTCAGATCCACTGAGAAACTTGCTGTTTCAGCAACATTTAATTTAAAAACTGTACTTTTAAGGTTAAACAAATGTTCATAATTAATTTAAATAAATTACAAGTTAAAAAGACATGGACATTTCTCTTTCTTGTATCGAAAAAATATTGAACCGTGAGACTAAAGTATCGAACTGAACCAAATCGTGAATTTTCTGTATCGTTGTACACCAAATTCAGTGTATTCAGTGTGTTCAAATTCATATATATATATATATATATATATATATATAACATTAACATTTTATATGACATTATAGTCATTTTGGCCTTTGGAAAAACATTTTTTGAGAGTATCAATCACCTCCCAATAAATGTCATTTTGGAAAATCTAGCCACTCATTTCTGCTCAATACTTTTACTTTTAATACTTTAGTACATTTTATGTCAGAAATTTACTTTTGATACATGCAAAATATATTAGATACTTTAAGACTTTTACTCAAGTAACATTCTTGGAGGAGACTAACTTTTACCAAAGTAATTTTACGGTAAGATACTTGTACTTTTACTCAAGTATCGCTTTGAGGTATTTTATACAACACAGGTCATTAGGCTGCTTTCGTCCTTGTCTCTATATGCTGCTTAGATAAACAGAGAAGAGGGCACGTGGTAAACACGAGGAACACAAGTGAACCTTTGGCGAGCCTCTGTCTGGTCTCTGTCACAGACTGCTCAGAGACACCGGCTCAGTCACGGCTGGGCAGACCACACAGCTAGAGCAACAAACATACCTTTAGCCTGGTCAACAGTCTGACGTTCGCACCTTTACCAGTCCCACACGCGCACATAAAAATATAGGCTTTTAGGAATATGAAGAGGAGGGGCCTGTGTGATGACAGTCATGAAAGGTGAAGAGCATGGATGYCAGGAGTGAAGGAGAGGCAGAGGACAGCCTAAGTGGTTTTGATTTGTTTTTTCGACGTGGATTTATGAAGCTGTTTGTCACGTCATTGTCAGTGCYTGCTCTCTAACCTTTAATCAGCACACTGAATGAGAAATACAACAAAGAAAACAGAAAAAAAAAKCCACACAAATAAACTCTGTGTTTTGTGTCTGTGCAGAGGCTGAAGGCTGCACTTTCGCACCACCCCGGTTCCATTCCAAACGGCAACATGAACTCCATGGGTCACATGATGGACATGATGTCTTCACGGCAGGAGCAAGGCGGCCACCATCACATGCACCCGCACCAGCACCTGCAGGCCCCTCCTCACACATACCAGCACCARGAACACCACCACCACAACCAGGGCCACGGCCAGGCAGCGCACCACCACCACCCGCAGGGACACAGTCTCCACCACAACTCCCACAATCCCCACCTCCTGCCGGGACACCCGCACCAGACCTCACCGCACGCTGCTATGCACTCTGCTTCACAGGTGAGTGGAGCACCTGTTAAAGTGCCTGTGACGTGTCTATCCTTCAAATACAAAAAAGTCAAAGAAAACATCTTTATATTTAAGAAACTTGACATAATGCACACAATTTTATCCATTTTGTCACATAACTGGCATATTTTCTTTTGAACTTGGCTCAGCCAAAGTGAAACAGGAAGTGACATCATAGGGGAACTCTTAAAGTGCCTGTGACGTCAAATTTTTGTAGTACATATGAATGCATTTTTAGAAAGAGCACGTTGATAAAAAATTGCAAAAGAAATTTCATGTCGCTGAGATGAACAGTTGTTTGAACATTTGTCTGTGAAGTAACAGGAAGTGATGTCAAAGGGGAATGTCTGCATGTGAACAGAGCATTGCTAAAATGGCTAACAATCCAGACTGTAGAGAAGAATCTGATGTTTCCTAAGATTATTTTGAGTCACTATCAAAGAGATGAAGAAGAGAGTTTAAATAATTTTGTTTCAATAAACAAAGACCAGAGAGTTTTCTTTGTTAAAGAGTTCCCCTTTAATGTCACTTCCTGTTTCACTTTGGCTGAGCCAAGTTCAAAAGAAAATATGCCAGTTATGTGACATACTGTAATGGGTTAAATTGTGTGTATTGTTCCAACTTTCTTAAATATGAAGATGTTTTCTTTGACTTTTTGTATTTGCACATGCATGTCTCAGGCACTTTAAAGAAAGTGAACTATATGCTATTTGTTTATTGAAATTTTTCATATCTTTCTGTTCGTGATTGAAAATAATCTATAAAAACTTCAGCTTTCTGTGTCGTTAGCAGCAATGCTCTGTTTACATGCAGACATTTCCCTTTGACATCACTTCCTGTTACTTCACAAGCGAAAATCTGAGCAACTGCTCATCTCGTCTGTGTGAAATTTGTTTTGCAATAAGTTATCATTACCTTTCCAAGAATGCATTCATGTTTATTACAAAAAAATGATGTCACAGGCACTTTAAAGGCAAAGCCGCAAGTTCAATATACCGTGACTAAAACAAGGCTGTGTTTTGGGTCGTTTAGACGTCTGTTATTAGTGGTTTAGTGTCAAAGCATTGTTGAAATGATGCTTGAAATCCACAAGTCGGTGGACAAACACATTTTCCCCCAGCTGTAGCCAAGCAGTTTCCTGGCACGCTTCTTAAAAAAAAGGTTTTACTTTAGAGTTCGTTTCATGTCTGTCGAAGGTCGAGGAGAGGTCATAAAGCTGCGACCACAAAAGATGCTCACGACTGTCTTTTTCGGAAACTGTGCTTCACATTAGCTGTAATTATGTAGCCACAATTTGCTCCAGGTGCAGGGGGAGTTTTATAAAGGGCGAAGTGACAGCGTTGGATCATGACTCCTGGAACATCTTAGCTGTAAGTGAATGTGGTTTGGTTTTATTTTAAAGCATTGCTCACAGCATTATGATGGGAGGCAGTTGGCCGTCCCGATCTTTGCTGATGAAGGACAGGTCAGACTTGAGGGAGAAAAAAAAATAAGTAAAAAAATGCATTTCATCGTATGTTCCAGGTGTACCATGAAGGCATTAAAACAACACCGTCTCTATGCACAGCCGCCATTAAAGCAGTTTGTGTTTTCCACGGCCTTCATAAAAATGGTAATGATCTGAAGACTGAAAACACTCAGCTTTGCCAAATAAATGTCAAGATCTGTCAGTGCAAGTACAGTTTTAGAAACGGGGCCTTTTGACTGTGTCTGGCGGTGTTAGTCTGAGTGGAAGTGGGCGTTGGAAAACTACCTTCTGACACCTCCTTAACAAGGTGGGCAAAGCCTGGTGAATCAGCCCAGTCACTCACTCCGTCTTCCACTTCTGACGCACGCAGCCCGGCTCCCGAGGCACGTGTTGCAAACAGATGTTGTTTTTAGGGGAAGTTGCCAGTCATTAAATAGCAGGTGGAGATAATGTATAGATGGTTGTTTACAAGCAGGGATGCTTTGATGGCTGCAGGGTGGTGACGTAGACAGGTGACTGGCTGGTTTCCAGGTTACATACAGTACGTGATATTACGGCGGCAGACAGACAGCGTCTCATCAGGACGTTCCCGCCATGCTGATCCGATGTGTCACACGTTTCAGATGTCGCCCGCAACCCAGCAGATGCAGCCCACACAGACGCTGCAGTCACCGCCGCCCAGCGGGGGGCGGCGCAGGCGCGTAGTAGACGAGGATCCGGACGAGCGGCGGCGGAAGTTCCTGGAGCGGAACAGAGCGGCGGCGACGAGATGCAGGCAGAAGAGGAAAGTCTGGGTGATGTCCTTAGAGAAGAAAGCAGAGGAGCTCACTCAGACCAACATGCAGCTTCAGGTACAAATAGAACTTTTAACTAAACAGCTCTCAAAGACGAGAAACCACAATTCTCAAACACGGGGGTGTCAGACTCGTTTTCAGGGAGGGCCACATGAGCATTATGATGGCCCTCAAAGGACCAGTTGTAAATAACTTCAACATTTCATGTTTAACTTTGATGAAACACTCATCTCCTTGTCTCGATGCTAAAGCTGAGCACGCTAGCAAACAATAACTGAGTGCTGGTTGACAAAATCAGAGATTCTTAACCTATGGGCCGCCACCCACAATGGGGTCGTGGCCACCTTGAGGGCCTCAAAAGAATAACAGTTTATAACTTTGGGCCGCAGAGAGCTGCGGGACCGCATTGATTTTGAATAATGTGCAATACACTTTCTCACCACTAGTAGCGGTAGTGCGCCACTCAAATGTTTAACAACTTTTTTTAATACGTAGAAGAAGAACCTTAGAAACCGGCTGAGAATTGAAACTTATTTTAAATGAAAAATAGAAGCAAAAATGAAAGTAACCCATCAAAAAAKYCCAAAGTTTGTCACTAATATGAAGGGCAGCTTCTGGTTCTATCATGCAGTATTTTAAAAGTTCAAAACATTATCAAATATAGCTGCAGATACAGTTATATTTTAATTTGCACCTTATCAAATTAATTTTTTGTAGTTTATTTTTAACATTTTGAATATATTTTAAAGAAACTTTAAACTTGTCAAAAAGCTGTTGTTACTGTTATTGTTTGTCACTAATATGAAGAGCAACTTCTGGTTCCACCATGCAAAAGTTTAAAAAGGCTTTATTTTCAAATATATTTTACAATTTTTTATTGTTTATTTGAAAAATTTACATTAAAAATTTTGAATGTATTTATTTTATGACCACAATTTTATTTATTGAAATACCTATTTTTATTATTGTTTGTTTAAATATATATATATTTATATTTGTGTTGATAAGCCTGAGTGGTATGTTGACTGTTCTGGGCAGGTTACAATATAAAAAAATGTTTGTCATAATCATGTCTTGTGATTATTTYACAGGAGTTTTAATTTGATAGTGTAAGTGTATTTAATTTAGTTATAATGCAAATACAATACAAATTAAACCAAGATTTAGAATAATTATCATTTTGATCTGAACATTAGTAATGTGTAACTGGGCCTCGTGCCACTTCATGTTCAACAAATGGAGCCCCGAGGTCAAAAAGCTTAAGAACCCCTGAACTAAATTATTCAGTGGGCCACAGTTACTCAAAGCCAGCAGCTCAGGGCCAAAACAAGTATTATCATCTTTCACCTTTTAAATATATTTATTTTGCTGCATCGAATCCTAAATTTAAAGTTTACCATTGATATATATTAAATGTGGCGGGCCGGACGTCACGTGGCCCACGAGCCTTGAGTTTGACCCATGTGCTCAAAGGTGCTGTTATGTTAATGATGTTATGTTAAATTGTGTTTTTTTCTCCTTTCCTTTCAGAACGAAGTGACCATGCTAAAGAACGAGGTGACCCAGCTCAAGCAGCTCCTGCTCACTCACAAGGACTGCCCCATCACCACTATGCAGAAAGAGTCCCAAGGTTACCTCAGTGAGTAGAGCTCAAAACATAAACACWGATGAGTGCACGCATACAGTACACACACTTCTGGGATTTTGACCAAACACACACACACACACGTTCACTGCTGTGCCTTAGCGCTGCAGACACAAGTCTAATGAACAATGAGCAGCTGCCAGGACTCTTCGCTCTGATGTGCTGGTATCCAGCTCCCACGCTCAGCGCAGGACTCTCTCCTTTCACGTGTGTGTGTTGGACACTCTGGGACTGGGAGTTGGTCGTCTGAACCTCCTGAGAGACTCATTTTATCCACCCGACAGCCCCCTCAATGAGGCGGCGGCGGCGGCGGAGGCTCAACGTGAGAAAGGGATCGCAGTCGGCACGTTGGCAAAAATTCGACAATCTTTTTGACGTTTGGACTGCGCTTCGGCTCCGCTTCGCATGACATCAGAACCCCCCCTCCCCCTCCTCCTCCCACGTTGATATGGACTCACATAGGATAAGGAACCTCCCTGTGTGCCTTTAGCGCAGGAAGAAAAAAAAGTCTCACAAGCCCTAAAATGGTTGAAAGGCTCTATTATGCAGAAGAAAGCCTCCTCCCTGACTGGGCAGGAAAGACTTTCATCACTGAGTCCAGCCTGTGTACAGATGTCACCTTCAATATGTCCCAAATCCATCAGGTGTGTTTACGGAGTTGACTGATTCACTTTTCCATTTTTGTATTGCTCTTTTTTTTTCTTGTAATGTTTCATATGAAAAAGAAAATGTGAGGTTTGTTTTGAAATCGAATGATTTTTTATGAATAAATCACCCTTTTTTAAATCAAAGGCACTTGGTTTGTGTTTATTTAAATGTTCAAGCCAATTTTATTTGTTTATGTTTTTAATCTGCCCTGTCGACGGTTTCAAATCATGAACGTGTCATAACCTGAGTGATGTTTCTGCTGTTTCCTCAGGTCCAGAGAGCAGTCCGGCGGGGAGCCCCACCCCAGCGTGTTCCCAGCAGCAGGTCATCCAGCACAACACCATCACCACCTCCACCACCGCCGTAGGGGGCAGCAGCGTGCACGGGCCGGCCAACCACCGCACAGACATTAACCCCATCCATTAGGGACCTGGGATCATTTGATCTAACCCCCCTCCTCCACCCTGCTTTCTGAGGGTTACCAGCTGCACACGCTGCCCCCATTTCCATCAAGAGAGAGAAAAAAGAAAACCTCATGAGCCTGCGAGGCTGCTCTTTCTACAGTAGCTACAGTATATTTTTCTAGACCAACCCCATTAACAAACGATGGCTCCACGGTTCGTTCACTTGTGTTTTTTTTCCTCTCTTTTTTTGTTCTGTTTGTTTTTGTTGAAATGTTTTGCGGAAAGAAAAGATTGCTAATCTCTCCACACCATTTGTTGGACTTCCTCTGGTGTGCCAGCTCACAAAACTGACTGCGGCGGGTCGTGAAACCAGAGGAGGYAGAAAAAGAATGACTGTGATCTCTAGAAACGTTTCAATTTAAATTTAAAAAAGACAAACCATCTGTGCGCCGGTATAGATCTTTGTTTCTCCTGGAAACARATAAGACTGTTCTCACTGTCATGACCATCCCTAAAAGGCTTTATTACAGGTTGCATGACAGTGATTAGATTATATCTTGTTGGATCAAATGGTAGCAATATGTCATCCATCATGTTTTCTACTGTAGGCTCACACTTTGATCAGAATGGCCAAGGACCTAAACCATGTTGTTTCAGAACTGAACACTGTGATACTGGTGAGGCAGCTCAGGGGCTGAGAGCAGCTCCTCCGCCCTGCAGGACCAAACTGAAGCTTTAATCATWAAGGCCTTATTTTATTTTCTATGGGTGTTGTACGTTGAGCTCTGCGTTTTGGATCCAAACAAAAAAATCCAAACGAATTTTACGTGTGAATCTTGTATATTTATGTTTTTTGTTTGTCTGTTTGTTCTTTCTTTTTTTCTGCAGAACAAAGTTCGGTAGCAGTGCTAAGGCAGAAAAGAGAAGTTTATTCCTTTAAGGAACTGTTTCAAGTGATCCTTCCTTGTTTTTCCAAGTCGTCACAGCGTGCCTGAATCTGTTTCCAAATTTTTTGCTGGCTTACGAATACGTAACCACAATAATTATCTTTAATTTTTTTTATTTTTTTGCCCAAAACAATGTCTGTTTTTAGTTTTCTCTGTCACAAACAAGGCCAAATCTCCTCGAACATATTGCCGACACTTTGTCTCCCTGCCAGCTTTAATACGTTCTCATGTTGACCGTAGATTGTCTCTTTCTTTCCTCTGCGACCAGAAATGTCAGTTCTGTTGCATGAAGACCGTGATGCACTGTGGGATTTTTTTTTTTTTTTTTGTAGCAGGATGGGTGAATTACGTTTCACTGACAGGTGGAGCGATCACAGAGCTGCCTATGCACTTTGCCCTCTGTCACAGAAGAGGGTGGGAGAGCCATGTTAAGGTCAGAGTTGATCCCTCGTCTTCACCAACACCAGCGAGAAAACCCAACTGTGTTTTTGCCTTTTTGGAAGAGGCCATGCCTGGCTCCTATCTCAGTGATTTAATTCGGAAAGGTTTTTTTCTTGAAATGTCTTTTCGTCATGTTTTTTCACACATTTACAMATTTTGTGTCGTTTCTTAATATCGGAGCAGACGACAATTTGTACAAGACAGAGAAATCCACTTAAAAAGGGCTTTGTTGTTCCACCCCGCTTGCCTTGTTTTTTTTTTTTAATGAAATCATTCCAGATCAACCTTTTGCATGTGAAATTTATTAATGACCTCAAACTATTTTAAACTGGAAGAATTAGGAGGACCTCAAACTTACATTTAAGCTCTTTTTTTCCCCCTCGTTTTTATTTAGTTTTATAAAGAAACAAAAATATTCGTTCCTCTGTAAGGTCAGATGGAAGTACAGCGTGTGTGTGAATGTGAGGCAGAGAACAAATCTCYCATATTAATAAGTCTGTATGTGTGTTATTTTAAGCTTAAAAAGTATAAATATTGTACATAATATTAATTTCTATAATCCTGTACATGTATTGCAACCACCCTTCTTTTTGAAGGGAGTTTAAATGTGTGGTACGTGTGTAAATAATGTTTCCACTGCACTTGTTGCCTTTTTTCCGTTTTCTTTGTCAAGATGTTGAAGCTCATTTCAGCGCTTTTAAAACCTTGTTGGTGTGTAACGAACTGATGAATCCACTRTTGCCTGCATAACTTTGTACATTTGTTTTGTCCGTGTGTTTGTAATTATGTTTTATTTTTGCATTTGTACAGACATTTAATATCATTGCAGTTACATTARGATATGAAAATAAAGCACTTGTTCGGCAACGTAAGACTAACTATATTTTATTGTATTGTTCTTCAGATTTATTTATTTTTGGAGAAAAAAAAGACGTAAAGGTGACATGATCGGCATCTCTTTGCTGTTGCTCGCCCTTGAAAAATAACTGCTCATTAAATAGTTAGATGCTTTAAGGGTTTAGAATACTCATTAATTATTCAGATGTCTAGACAGCTTGATAGATGCCTGATGAKACAACATGGTAGTCACACACATGCAGGGGTCACATGCACAGGAAAATACTGACATCCTAAACAGAAAACAAAACAGCTTCACTATTTCAAGCGACAAAATTAAATAACTCTAATAAACATGGTTTTTCCATGATTACAACTTTAAATTTGAAATATTAGATGCCAATAATTCAGTGTTACCAGATGCTTTATTTCAACTTAAATAAGACCTCTAATTATAAAATTCATCCAACTATTCAAACTAGTTATTTCAGACTAAAAGTCCTTATCAGTTAATAAAATACTAAAAAAATAGTGAAAAAGGCAAACACATCCATGACAAAGCAGACAAACCTCTTAGATTATAAAATGCTAATTTATAATAAGATGTTGAAGTCAGAGATCTGATTGCATCACATTGTCACATTGATTATATGCATTCAAATGGACTTAAAAAAGATCTTCAAAAGCTACAAGTTTTAATTTTTTTGAAGACTTATCCAGATGTGGTTTGGCCAGAACTTTTAATCAAAAGTGGATAACATGAGATCTTTTCAAAGTATTTGTGCTGATGATCAGACTTTAAAATATAACATTCACAGCGAAATGCCATATATAAATAAAGTAAAAAATAAGCACCTGTTGCCCCCCCGCCCAACTTATAAACCTGTTACACACAAGAAGACATAATGCTGTAGCATTTAAGTTGAAAAACACAGAAAAGCTTTTATTGGTCAGATAATTAAGACAAGTTTAGAAATTTCAGAATCAAACTTAACTAAATAATTCTTGAGATGAACATTAAAAAGGTTTAAAATCTACAATAGTTCAGGAAAGTATTTTTATTGTTTCTCCCTTCAGTAGTTTTTGTTGAGGACTAGTGACCCCTGGTGGACATTTTCTGAACTACAAGCTTTTAAAGTCAGTAAATATTAAGGCAAGAATAAAATTAGGCAGAAAATGAAAGTATTGAAACTTACGGAAGACGATTAGCACCACTGAAAGAAAAAAAAAAAAGAGAATTCTGACTTTTTTCTCAGAAGGCCTCATTTTATTTTTGCCTTAATATTTACTGACTTTAAAAGCTTGTGTTTAAAGTCAGAGTTCTGACTTTTTTTTTCAGAAGATTAAAGTAAAAAGTCAGAATTCTGAGATTTAAGTCAGAATTCTTTTATTTTTCTCAGTGGCCCTAATCCTCTTTCGTAGAAACTACAACATTTTATACAGAAATACCTGTTCATTTCAAGTCATTTCAGAATTCAAATATTTCAGATGTAACTGTGCTTATCTGAACACAATTATTTTTTGCTCAAACCAAGAAACATTTCTTACTAATTATCTGAATCATCTGTTGTGTTTCAGATAAAAGTCAAATATCTCCTTTGATTTAAAAAAAAACACATTTATTGCAAAATATACACAGAACATWATTTGTTGTGTCAATCAACAGTCCTTTAAATCAACACTGAACAATCAATGTCCACGAAGATRGTTTTAATCAGTCTTGTTTTTTTTGAACCAAAGCTTTTCACTTCCAGCCTTGTGTCGACAAGAATCTGTCAATCATGTCAAAGGATCGGGCCGGCTGGTCGTAGGGCAGAATGTGTCCTCCTCCTCGTATGATGACCTGCAGATAAAAAAAGGACTTTTAACAAACTGCGACTTTAACGTGAGAATGCTGTTTGTTTATTTTTTAACATACCTGGTAAAACTCTCCGACCTGTCTGACGTAYCCTGCCACCTCTGTGTCACTGGGCTGGACCTTCCAGTGGAAGCGAGGGGCCGTTTTATACTCGGCGGCGCCGGTCCAGTTCACGGTAGGCAGGAACCTTTCGGTCAGAGGGGCGGCGACGATCACATCCAGCTGCCCGCTGTAGATCAACACCTGCAGGAACGCTGCAGTTGAGACGTCAGAGCGCCACCTGCTGGGCGTCAGAGACGTGCGCCTCTTACCCTGTAGTTGTCCATCAGCACGCCCAGCCACGGTTTGATGCTCTTCATGACGTCCTGCAGGAGGTGCTTCTCCACCTCCGAGCCATCGTGGAACGTCAGGTTGCCCACGTGGATGGCTCGCCGCACGGTGGGCCGGGTCACGAACTGAGAGAAGTACTCCTGGTCCTCGGGCTCCTGGGAAACYCAACGAACCGATCAGACCGAAAGGTTTTCTGAAGCACAGGAAGGAGAGAGGGCGGAGCTCAGATCACCTGACACATCAGGTAGTTGAAGTAGTTGGTACAGCCTGTGGCGTTCTGGAAGAAGGAGGGGTATGGGTCCACGTCGCCGTTCAGCAGCGAGTCAAAAACCTGAAGCGATGGATGAAAAAAACAGAACAAAGCAGCGTCAGCTGTGGAATTAAAGGAGCTGCTAAAGCTGAGAAATGTGCTGTTAATGCTGTGTTTCCTGTGGGTCGTATACAGTCACAGAAATAAAAATCTAAATCAGATTCATGTTTTCCTTTAGACAAATACTTTTAATTTAAGTGTAAACAACTGTGTTACATAGTTTTCATTTATTCAGAAGGAGAGCAGTCTCCACAATATGTCTGGCACTTTGGAGAGGCTGATGTGCTGAATAAATCTGAACAAAATAAATTTGATTAAAAACATAATCTATAAAGCTCGTTATGTACGGAGACAAAGTAAACTTCAATTAATGCATAATTTAAGTTGGTTTTTAGTTTGAGATCTTCACATTAATATTGTAGTGTTATACAACAGCAGTGATAGCCAATTTAATTTAATTTAACCAATTTATGTCGTTAGTCGTTAATTGGTGAATGCCACAAATTCTCCTAAATCACTCGTACGCACAACTTAAGAACAGATCTGTTCGTATGAACGGTTCTTGCATGAGGCCTGATGTTTCTAAAGCCACATTCTGTTTCTGACTTACTTTAAAAGCTTCCACCCACTTCTGATGCTGGATGAGCTGAACGGCGAGGCCCGTCTGCTCGTCCACGTACCGTTTCTGCAGCTCGTCTACCATCCCCGTTTGATACAGGAAGTCACCGTAACCAGCCAGCATCTGGGGAGGAAGAAACATTCGATGGGTGAACGGACAATCCTCACCAACGGCAGGTATGACCAGCACCTGTATTCTGGGGATAAAAGGGTCCGACATTTTAAGATTTATTCTTCTTCTACCTTTCTTTTTAATTTGATTTGTGTATTTTCTATTGTATGTGGTTATTTTGTTTTTTTAATGAAATGAATACATTTTTTGAATTGAAATCTAATCGTTTGCAGCATCACAATAAATCATGACATATCATATTGTAACCTGTGTCTGGATATGTATTATATCACCAAACTCCTAATCAGCAACTTTAAAACTTTTACAATGTGAACATTTTGAGAAAATTGGTAAAATAAAAAAAATGAAGAAAAACTAGAGAATGATTGCAACTTTTTTTTAGAACAAACTAACTTTGATTTCTCTCCAAAATCTGTGATTAAAAGCATTGAATTAAATATAAGTTTAAATAATCAAAACATTTACATAAATAAAAAAACGTTTTGCTTTGATACTAAGTTTTCTCTTCATAAGTGGAAGAAATTAACACCACCAACACGAGCCACACTGACAAAGCATATTATACTAGAGCACTGTTCAAGTGTAGAGTCGATACGGTTCCAAGCCATTTCCATTAGGCCAGATTCATGGAACCAGACCTTTTTAGTACCTACTTAGTTGTGGTTCCAAGTGGTCCCAGTCGACACCAAAATGCGACGTCAGAACACTGTTCATCACTGATTGGCCAGMGGGTGGAGTCACTGYTTTTGTCTGCCTTTACAACAACAAATCYAGGCGCCATTTTTTCCAATTGTAGCAGCGACATRAGTCGTGTTTCCATCCAACTTTAATTCAATATTTTAGCAAATTTTTAAAATTTCAGAACTTATTCGGCAAATGTGTTTCCATCTCTCATTTTGCGCATTAATTCTTTTTGGAAAAACCGAAAAAACACACCCACTGGAACCGAACTGAAACATGAATGGAAAAGCACCTGAACTGACCCGTTCCGACACCGACCGTACCGACACGACACTAAGTGGCGCTAGTGGAAAAGGGSCATWAAGCAGCCATTATAGTTATAATGGCTAAATAACCATGTGTTTGTAGTCAGTAATAGTTAAGGTGCAACAGTGGGAGGGTTTTTTTCTCTATTTGGTCTTTGAGAAAGTAAAAGCCACAGGATACGTACCACTTCTGGGTCACAGAGTCCGTCTCCTATAGCCATGCCCTTGAAGTTGATCTTGACTTTRGCAGTCGGGTTGTTTTTGTGGATGTAGTAGGAAACAGCAGGAACATACTTGCCTGCGTACGACTATAAAGAGACAATATATTCAAATTATAAAGTCTTTTATGTTATCATCTGATTAATAACTATGTAATAACATGAGTTTTATAAAAATGAGTGGGGGATTCACAAAACTGACCTCTCCSGTGGCATAAAACTCATTGGACTGATACTCTGGAAAGAGCTGGAAGAACTGAGTCAAAGCACTTTTCGAGAAAGAGACAAAAATAATAATAAAAAAAGGGTAAAGAGTTAAACTCCAGCAGAACAAGTGGAGGGATGAAGACTGCAACAGAGCAGACCTGTAGAGATCTCTGCCGACATCGTCCTGGTTCTGAGCAAAWCCTTTGTCGTCGTCAGTGAAGCTGAAACCGGTTCCCACCTAAAACAAAACAAGACGCATCGACTGAAGGGAAGATGTATTTTATTCATCCATGGGGGGTTTAAAATAAGTAAATAAATAAATACCGGATTGTCGATGTACAGAACAGAGTATCTGCTGGTCCACGCAAAGTCCCTCATCCCAACTGCAAAGACAAAAATGGCAATCCTCAAAAAAAAAAAAAAAAAAACTTCCAACAGCGTCCATCTTTAATCAGCCACTGCAGAACCAAACCTGTTAGGTTCTTGTACACAACATACGGTCCGTGTTCCACAAACAGGCCAAACATGGAGGTACCGCCCGGCCCGCCCTGCAGCCACAGCAGGACTGGAGCTTTGTCCCCGGCTCCCTGTGGGTCACATCCAGACCAGAGTTAACTCAACAGCTCCATCTAGTGGTGAAGGTGGTTTCTAAACAAACCTGTTCTTGACCACTCTGTCAGCGGGATTAAAGAGCTTTAAATTATGAGATTAGGAGGGTGTGGTAGTAGCTGAGGGTCATCCTCCACACAGGTCACATGACGTCTGTCAGGAGAACTGTGGCGTTTGTGCTGCAGACGATAAGCACGTTTAAAGAATGCTAGTGTTTCATTTATTTGTTGCTCTGCAGTTARAACCAACACAGCTTTATTTACAGCAAAACAAACATTACAGCTCAGAGGCATCAGTTTGCTAGATTTTTTTTTCATATTTGTGCAGCATTTGCAGATATACAACAAATCAGGAAGGTTCCTGCAGAAGCGATTCATAAAGAAACTAATTTCATCGTTTTAAAGAAGTTGTTTTGTTGAAGTGCATTTGGATCAGAAACTATGAGGACACTGAAACAAAACGTTCACATTTTTAAGCTTTAAAGAGTAACTTACCCCAAAATTAACTTTTTTTAGCTGATAAACTGTCTAGAAT